AAGAATTATGTTCTCGAGGGACACCACACGGGAAGGAAGAACGCCTTTTGATTGGTGGCGGCGGAGGAGGGGGACGTTTCAACCAAAAGGCCGTTAAAGGCCCTTATAGAGAGGGAAGGGGAAGCTAAGAGGGAGCATGGGTACTGGAAGTCCAGGTTGGCCAGAGAATGTGGAAGGGTCGTTGAAACTAAAACAAAGTAGTTTGGGGGATTCTGTCTGGAACTGAATGCCAAAAGGGATTTATACTTTAGTTGGGAAACAAGGCATTGAAAGTTTTTTAATATGAATGCAACCTTTGCTAAAGAAAAGTGATTTGGGCAATGAAGGAAGATGGATTGAGTTAACGAGGGATGAAGTCTGTCAGAAACCCAGGTGACAGGCCGGAGAGAATGACCAGGAGCTGGATTACAAACATCTCAGAGGCAAAACCTACAGTTCTCCCATGGGTGAATTTGAGAAGTGAAGCAGGCAAATATGACAATGCCAAAGAGTTGAGTCAGAGCTGTAGTGGTGTCATGAACTGAAACACCGCACACATTACGAAAGAGACAAACTGCCAAGATAGCAGTTTGGGTCTCTGAGCTACTTAGGTGAAGGTGCGGCAGGCAGAACACCTAGCGGGAGGTTTCTGGCAGACGGTTTAGAGCACGGGCCAGAAGTGGAAGTTGGGGGACCATAATGTTCACCGAGGGTGTGGCAGAGCATGAGTTAGTTCCTCGAGGGTGTCGGGAGAAGCAGGTGAAGAACAACAGTTCCTTGAGAAACCTTTTGTATTCCAGGAATTGGAGTGTGGGAGTAGTGGAAGAGAGAGTGGTTGGAGAGAGAAGAACAGAGCCAAGACACCTTTGGAAGAAGAGTTTCAAGGATAGTTAGTGCTCAGTAGCATCAAGTACTTCAAAGTTATTCACAGGAATGAGAATTGCAAAAAGGCCATGCTGTTTGGCAATTTGGACATGCTTCTTTTGAGATAATTTCAGTAAGCTGTGAAGGGTGGACACCAATGTATAGAAAATGAATGAATGAATGGTAATGTGGAAGCAGTAGATGTAAGCTAGGCTTTTAAGAAATTTAACAGTGAAGGGAAGGAGTGAGATGGAGTCCAAGCTGAAGAAAGTAAAGGGAGGGCCTTTTTATTTTTTAACTTTTGATTGTAATTTGAATGAAAGCTTAAGAGCAAATTGGTTTTCGAGGGGAGGGTCTCTAATAGTAGACATGAGTATGCTTTATAAGTAGAGGTGGCGGCGCCAGTAGCAAGGAAGAGGTGTAACCCTCATAGATCCCGCCTAATCTAAGCTCAATTTTCTTGGCAAATTAAAGGGGAAATAGACACATAAGCCAGATAATTCAGGCGAAAAGCAAACAACTACAAGTGCAGATAACAAAAAGAAATAGAGCCTGGACTATAACATACAAATGGATTGACAACACAATTGTCATCTAGTATTTTACGGAATTGCTCAAGCACATTCTCGTCTATGTTGGGCATTGCTAGCAGAGCTGTAGTCTCTGGCAATCACCTTTTGTACACAACTGTCACGTAAGGGCACTGGTAGCACAGTAGGTTAAGTACTGGGCTGAATATAGATGGGTAGGTAGGTAGTTTGACCCCACCCGCCACTCTGTGGGAGAAAGAGGAGGCTGTATGCTCTCAGAATGAAAGTCCCAGAAGCTCCACGGAGCAGCTGTCCTGTCCTCGAGGCTACTGAGCCAGAATCAACTTAATGGCAGTGGGGAGATAGAACATGGTGGAGTAGATGGTTAGACTGTTTGGTACTAATTAGATTGATGACCACCCCCCCCTGCAAAAAATAACACCTTTTTATTGTGAATTAGGTGGGGGTTTACATATCAGTGTTTTTACATTCAACAACCTAAAAACAATTTCTCTAACTTCCAATGACTTGTCCTGTGTCCTCCCAAATTTGGGAACGTTTCATGAATTTGCCTGTCATCCTTGTATGGGGCCATGCTAATCTTCTGTGTATTGTTCCAATTTTGGAATATGTGCTGGTGAAGCGAGCACCAACCTGACTTTTTTTTTTTTTTAACCTGACTTTTTTAATAGCCTTTTTTTCCCCCTTTGCCCGAAGGAAAATTGTTCTCTGTAAACATATGGTAATTTGACTACACATCATTCTTGCTGATCAATGTTAAAAGTTCCTGGGTCTGCAAGAGCTTTCTTTGTTGAGAATTGACATTTACCCTTGTGTCCACCCTTGAATGATATTGAAAGCTAAATAGAACTCTATCTGGGGCTGTACTTTCAAAGAGAAACAGGCAGTCTAAAATCTCGCCAAGATATCTTGCCCTTCCCACTCTTGCAGGGAATTTTTTTTTCCTTTTTGGTTTGTTTGCTTTTGTTTCCCTCTAAAATTGGGCGATAGGTCCCCTGATTTGGGGGCTGTTTCTTTACAGCATGCCACTCTACCCTAACACACTTGCTCCTTGGGCGAGGCTCAGGCGTCACAGATTTACCCAACAAACTGGCAGTGGGGAGCTGTTGTCCAGCTGTAAGGTGACTTGTGTTTGTAAAGCAATGGGAGTTCTCCAGAGGGTGGTTACTAAACAAGCAGTGTCATAAAGAATATTGAAGCGCCCGGAGGGATCTTTCTGTTCCTGCCAACATTCCACTGAACAGAATATAAGGGTTAGGGTTTTTTATCCATCCAAGAATCTCCCTAGGGCCAGGGGGGCGGGGAGGGGAGCTCCCAGCATGGACCAGCTGAGGATGTTTGCATGTAACCGGCCAAGCCTTTTATCAGCTGAGACCCACAGGAAGGCTCCAGGGCCAGTGAGGGGGCTTGGCTGGCCCTTGACTTTGGCACGCAGTCAGCCCTCTTTTCATGCCTCTGATCTGCCTATTGGCAGCAGTGGGGACTGAGTGCAGCCAGGGCTGTTCCAGTCTCATCTTCCTCACCTCCTGACCTCCTTCCCTTGGCCCCATCCTGGCTTTTACACAACGCCAAGAGTTCACAGATTGGTTCTGGTTGCATCTTGTGAATTAGGCTCTTCTTTCCTGTTTTGGCAGAGTTTGTTTTTCTCCTGTCTGAACAATGGTGTCTGGAGAAATCTGCGAGCTACCAGGCTGTAGAAATCCTAGAAAGGTAAAGCTCTGCGCCCAAGGTCTTTGCCGAGTGGTACCTCTCAGAATGGCCAATGTACCCAAATCTTTAGCAAAGTACTAGTTGTCCCTTGGCCTGGTTTGCTTCCTCCTTTTACTTGCAAATTAAATTTCTTAGCCAGCCATTGATATCAGAGAAGATAAGAGTGTGAAGCACAAACCTGTTTGAGTCTGAGTGTGGACTAGTGTACTCTCCCATCCTGTCACTTATAGGTTTATGGTTAAGCAAGCAGAGAGCATCTGCAGACAAGCCACACTCCAGTCGAGAGAGAATAAGGCAGGGCCGCAGAATTGGAGGGCGCTGAGAGAGCAGCTTCTCAACAAGTTCATCCTGCGGCTAGTGTCTTGCGTTCAGCTGGCCAGCAAACTTTCCTTCCACTACAATGTAAGGACCTGGGGTCGTCGATGGGCACCTCCCATGGGCATGAGGGAGAAACCAGCTCCTCCAAAGGGGCTGCGAAGAATCTCTTCCGAGGTTGGGCTCGGTCACTTGATTCATGCAGAAATTCCAGAGTACTTATGCTTCCTAAACACACACACACACACACACACACACAGAGTCAAACAGGGGCACTTATTAAATAGCCTGAAGTTCTATTCCCAAAGTAGAATTGCTGGCTAGGTGCCATCATTCATACAGGTCACCTTTCCTCCCCTTGGAACTCACGGACAGTTTACATAAGGTACCTGAATTGCCAACATACTTAACAGTATAAAGTTGAACTTTTACATTCATTAAGCATTAAAAGGCTCCACACGGCTCCCTAAAGACTGTAGAGTAAAATCAACAGGTACTTACTGTCTTCTATGGTCAGGTGTTGCCCTAGATGCCATGGCTACCAAGAGTAGGAATGCCCTCTGTTCTCAGTGTATTCATTGTCTCGGGGGAGACAGACCGGTGAAGAGTGGACACAGAGCAGTATGCATGTGCAGTACCTCAGCCGCTGAGAACCGAGGGCTTTCAGAGAAAATGACACCTTGAAGCAGGGCAAGGGGGAGATCCTGAGGGATGAGGGAGCGTGGAAGGAAGGCAGGCTTTTAAGGTTTGAGAACAGAACATGTAGAGGCTGGGAGAGGGAGAGGCATGGTGGGTTTGGAAAACTTACTAGTAATTCTGTGTGATGAGCAGTGCCAGGGTCATTTACCAGGAAGACCAGAAACGAAGGCATGTGCTGGATTATGAAGGGCTATGTGCACTGTTTCTCCATGTACGTGACCTTTCTTTTTCTTCTGTGTTCCTTTCTTCAGATAATCAGCAACATTACAATCCTGAATTTCCTCCAGGCCCTAGGGTATCAGTACACTAAAGAAGAACTGGTGGAGTCTGAGCTTGATGTTTTGAAGTCCCTGAACTTCCAAATCAATCTGACCACGCCCCTGGCATATGTGGAGGTGCTCCTGGAGGTTTTAGGTAAAGTGTGTCAGGACATATGGGTTGGAACCTTCTGTAGATGGCAATAAACTGTGTGCCCAGAGGCTTGGTGGCAGCGGACAGAGCCTGCCGATGAGGAATCGCAGGAAGCCCCCGCTGCAGTCTTTGGATGGCTGAGAAAGGTGTTCCCTCTGGCACTTGCCAGGGAGGAGGCCGTCTCAGCAGCTGGCTTCCACTTGGAATCACTAGACACTCCCTTGTTGCAGGATCAGAGTGGACTTTGTAGAGGCGTGGGATGAGAACAAATACACAGTTTAATTGTGTATTGTACATGGAGGTTTCTCCACTTCTTCCTTTGTCCTTTAAAACGGGACTTGAGCCAAACAGGTTTCTTATAGAACCACCAGGAAGTTCATGAAGAGCTCAACAGCTCTCTGTCACCACTGTGGTTAGGATTGGAGGAAGCCCGTTTAAATGATCCTCCGTCCTGTCTAGGGTACAATGGTTGTCTGGTCCCGGCCACACAGCTGCACGCAACCTGCCTGACTCTGCTTGACCTGGTTTATCTTCTGCACGACCCCATCTATGAGAGCCTGCTGAGAGCGTCAATCGAGAGCTCCACCCCCAGTCAACTGCAAGGGTAAGGCAATTCCTATAGGGTAGGTTCCTTCCAGAAACCACGAGCGGTGGAGGCAATGGAATTAGCCTGGCAGGTTACCTGGTTCATTAATTTCCAGTGTGTGGTTTGGGCGTAGATGACTGCACCCAATCGGCAAAGCCCAAAAGGCTTTTACTTTTCCATTTACATGACTTTGGGTAATTAACATACATTCTTTCCTAGTTCTTCCATTATAACTGCTTATGACTTGCCGTTACTGGACTGCTTTTACAGCCACCTGGGGCTGGGGGTGAGGAAAAATAAAACACACCACCAGTCACAAGGTTGCAACTTGGCTTAAGTGTTTGATTACTGTAAAGTCAGACCAGTAAAAAGTCTCACAATTACATTTGTTAGGGAGACAGATGGAACAAAAGGCCTATAACCCATTCAGACACCAGGCTCGTATTCTCACCTCAGCTGAGTTGGTGGTGGGGAGAGGTGTCCCTCAGCTACTCCTCGACCATTTCCCTCCATGTCTAAGAAATCCAAGATGACCAACACACACAGCTCATACTTGAAGTTCCATGACCCTCGACTTTGGAAGATCGGGCCCCATTCTAACTCCCAAATTAATGTGGTTTCCATCACTCAGGGAAAAGTTTATTGCAGTGAAGGAAGACTTCATGCTCTTGGCAGTCGGAGTCATTGCAGCCAGCGCGTTCATCCAAAACCCTGCGTGTTGGAGCCAGGTACGCCCCCCAAGCAGGAGCAGCAGGGCCAGAAGTCACTGACTGGACAGCATTCCCCCATCGATTACAGGTGACAACTGACAAAAGCTAAGTGTTGAGGAACAGGATTTGGAAAGGTTAGAACTAGGGTCGAGCTGAAAAATATTTTCCAGTTTTCCTCTTAGGAAGTAAAAGTAGAAATAGGGGCCCCAGGTTGTTCATTTCCCTTTAGGACGATGACCCAGTGCTGTGTTACAGTCTAGTAAGTCTCTCCTCCCCAACTGAGAAAGCATCAAGACCCAGATAGAGCTCTCATATCTCACAGAACCTAGCTCAGCAGAGGGGAATGTCCACCAGACTGTTTGCATGTGAGCCCTATCAGGATAAAGGTGTCCTCATGAAATGCAGCCACTGGCAGACACTGAAATCTGGATTTAATCTTCCCTCAAAGTTGAGAAACAAACACAAAAATTGCATTTGGCGCGAGAAAGCATCCAAAGTAGTGTGTGTGCTAAAACATGCTGGGACTATTTAACAAGCAGAAATGTCTTTCTGAAGGTCACTGGGCATTTGCAGAGCATCACTGGCATTGCCTTGGAGAGCATTGCTGAGTTCTCTTACGCAATCCTGACTCACAGCGTGGGTGCCAACACTCCAGCACGACAGCAGTCTGTTCCTCCCCACCTGGCGGCCAGAGCTCTGAGGGCTGCTGCTTCCTCCAACACATGAGGCAGGCTGAATCTGCCCCCTATCAACAAGCGCCCACTACTGCAGCCTGCCCGCCCCGGTTTACTTTCATTACTCGGGGTACAAAAGTTCTAAGTAGCTCTCGCCCTGTTTTGCTTTCCACTTTCAGGCTTATTTTACCCACATCAGAGGGAATAAAGGTAGACAGACATGTCCTTTTGGTTGTAGCAGACTGAAAATGTCAGAGCTGGAAAGAAAGATTATGAATAAAGTTGGTTCATTTTTGTTTTATTTTTATGGCTTTTTCTGTAACTGTTCATTTCACGGAGAGAATACTGAATTGGCAAATGCCTTTCTATAAACTAGTACAACAAAAAAGAACTCTGAACATGGAAATAAGCATTAACCAGGGTGCTCAAAACCCAAATTATTATTAAAAAACAAACAAACCAAATTATGTATGCGACCTTGACTGAGCATCAAGGAGGCAGACTTTCATCTTTACAGTTAACAACTCCACTCTGCCATTGAGAGCTGCACGGGACTTCGAACCAGTTCAAAACAGTCCCTTACGGTATTTTGATCCAAGTCAGAAACGAAGAGCTGGGTCCCATTAGAAGATGGTGGCGGACACCAGCACGTAGCGTGTCGCCCTCCAGTGCCCTGCCCCAAACCTTCCAAACGAGGGAGGCCAGCCACCGTCCCTTCTCCTCAAAAAGTTTCAGAATCCTGATACAGAAGATTTGGTTACTGGCAGGCTTCTGGTGAGCAATACATTTGAAACAGTCCACCTGGCTGCCATCCTGGAGCAGGGGACAGCCCTTTGTTTACTACATGGATCCTGGGCAACGTATCTGGATGCTATGGACGGCCCTGACAGCAGTGACTGAACAGCATTCTGAACCGACAGGTTGAAAACCTGGAGCTATACAAACGGCTTCCACTATAGCTTCCTACACTAATCTTTTGTAATAACTAAAATTAACCTCTGTTCAGCATGCTTCAAAAGAATCAAATGGATGCACTTGAATCCAATTCTTCTGGAATAAAAAGCACACTGCTTTAAAGAAAAATGCACCAGCACACCTCTGGACAGTTATTAGACTGCAGCAGGTCTTTTATTACAAATAATTAAATCTGTCCATAATGCTCAACGGCATCAAACGCCATTTCCTATTTCTGCAACAGAGCGGAGGAGGCATTCAGCACCAGAACTCAAGCATCTGATCACATCACACAGTGAGCAGACAAAGTGCTACGTCATTTTCCCACGTGGTCCAACGGCGCCGCTCAGCTCGCGCGTGGTGGAGAAAAAGGTTTCTGTTTCATATTGGAGGTGCGGACGGTGAGAAACAGGAAAAAAATCCAGTGGAAATACATCAATCTTAAACTCTTTTAAGAAGACAAAAAAGGCAGGGGTGGGGGACTTAGTTTGGAGGGAAGGAAGACATAGGGTTAAGGCTCCAAACTATTACCAGGGTTGGTAGCTAGACACAGCAGGTTGTAACTCTGGAAACTGGCTTTCATACGGTACTTTAAAATAAAGTGGCTTTTGTAATTTTTGGTATTGTAAACATATGCTATTTAATATTACCCAAATTTAATTAAAAAATTTAAACTTTTTTTTTGCAAACAAAACAAAATTGAAAGCCTTCAAGGCAAACATCCTTCTTAAAAAAAAAAGTCATTTGTTATAAAACTGTGAGGATACCCAGGCCAGACCCCACTTAAGATTTGTCAGCATGAACTTGAGGGCTTTTGTCCACTGTTCCTCGGAGTTAAACTGGGTTTTGATGGAATAGGAGCCGCCGCTGCCTCCTGTGTCTTCGATCTTGCCTTTCTCCACATCCATCCTGCAGATGGACACAGCAGGGCTCATTAGTGACTGAGAACTGAGGGCAAGTCAGCTCAGGCAAATGGGCAGGAACTTGATCATGGGGCCAGTCACGTCATTTTATCTATTAAAGAACTCTTGGCGAGGAGCGGTAGTGTATTTTGGATTTGCTTGAAAGCCAAAAATCAAGAAGGCGGTCACAAGAGCTTCATTGTCATTGTGGGTACTGGGACAGGACACACACCCAAACAGATGAGCCAGGAGCAAGGGGTGAGAGAGGGTTACAGTGCTCCTCCCTGTTTTCCTAGGCATCCCTGAACTTGGGGGGGGGGAGAGTGGTGGACAGTGAAGCAAGGAGGTGCTTTGTTTGGGGTGCTAGTTGCAGTCAGCCTTATTCCCTGAACAAAGGTTCCCAGCTACACTGGGCTCCCAGGAGACCTGACCAAATAAGCATTCCTGTATATTTCCAAGGGTTTGGGGGAAAACTTTTCTGAACTAGGGAGCAGGCTTGGATGCTGCCAAGCAACCCCGCCAAACCACTTAGGGACCAGGCCATCAGGTTATCCTGTGTGCAGTGTTGGACGGGCTGTACCTGGCACTGTCACGTGCTTTTCTGCCCCACCCCCACCCCCCACCCCCGCCTGTGCTTTGCTCCCAGGCTTACTGCCCCTTTCAAGTCTGTCCAGTTTGGTCCTGCTAAAGGCTCACTGAGCTTTGGAAAATACTGACCTGTAAGGAAGACAAAAACGCGTCTCGCCTTTCTCAACCTCTTCTTTAAACTGCTGCGCACAGTCCAGGAAAGCCACCATGGCGTGGTCGAACTTGTTGTCCCAGAAAAACCGCAGGCCCCCGGAACAGTGCAGCGGCAGCTCCTGCCCAGAGAGACTGTGGGTGCGGAGCCCGACAAGCAGCCATGCCCGGCCTCCCAACAGAGAGAGTGACTGTGGGTGCGGGGCCGACAAGCAGCCATGCCCGGCCCCCCAACAGAGAGAGAGACTGTGGGTGCGGAGCCCGACAAGCAGCCCGGCCCCCCAACAGAGAGACTGTGGGTGCGGTGCCGACAAGCAGCCGGCTGCCCGGCCCTCCAACAGAGTGACTGTGGGTGCCCGACAAGCAGCCCTGCCCGGCCCCACAACAGACAGTGACTATGGGTGCGGTGCCCGACAAGCAGCCCTGCCCAGCCCCCCAACAGAGAGAGTGACTGTGGGTGCGGTGCCCGACAAGCAGCCGGCTGCCCAGCCCCCCAAGCCATGCTGTCTAGTCCCTGGAAACAAGATCTGTGGTTGGACTCGACTTTCCATGAACTCCAACTGCTATCACTTCGAGTTCATATTCAATGGCAATGTGCAAAATGGGATGCGCGCGCGCACACACACACACGAGTTCTGCCCATATCCTTTCTCAGCAGATTTTAGAAACCTATTTTTCTCTAAAGGTCCCAATGAGCTGCACTTGAACTTATGAGGCACTGGCTCTTCAGGAGGTACCATGGTCTAGGAAATAAATGGAATAATGCCAGTACCAAAACAAAACCAGAGCCATTTTGCTAAGTACGTGGGCCCACGTATTTCAACGAAAACGGAGCATCCCCAAATACCTTAGATTTGTCTGTCAGAGACTCCAGGTAAGAATGGTTTCCATAGGGAACAAGGCGATACCTAAAATGGAGAGGCAGAGATGGGTGCAAGAACTCTCTGAAAGGGACTGTTGGAAAGGTAGAGACCAAGAGCTTTCCATCTTGATGCTGCCAGGAGCCTCGGGTGCATTAGTCCTGCTCCTCTCTCCCCACTTCCCCACATGCTCCAGGCTTTAAAACTAGATTTTGTTTACCAAACAAGCTGCATTTATTGTATAATTGTTTGTGGCCTTTTCACAGACAAATGTGAGTTTTGGATTAGACTGAAATCATGAAAACAGCTTGAAGAACACTAAGGTTCTGGATGGGAAACGCTGCTGTTTGCACAGCTCGTGGATTGTGTCACCTGTGGTAGGAGCCCCTCGGGGAGGGAGACCCCAGCAGAGACTCTCTCAATGAGGGAGACCCCAGCAGAGACTCTCTCAATGAGGGAGA